CGCTATTGAGCCACTCAAAATTACCGCACGGGAAATTCCCTCACCGCAACAGCCCTATGTATAGTAGTGGTGTCCCAATTCTTAGGGAAATATTTTCACCCCTACCCCTTGACACACTGTTTCAAGGGACAAGGGGTATAAAATAGAATTGGGATTGGGCCTAAGTATAAGTTTAGCACAAATATATTTGCACTCACAGAACACTCTGACTGAGTGCTTCAGAGTTTCAGTCTCTGTCAAGCGATCTGTGCTATTTTTCATTTCATCTCAATGGACCTGTGTTTGTGTATTTGACGTGGGGCAGCATTGACAAGTTTCTTTGCTCGTGTGTGTGTGTGTGTGTCAGTAAGCAGCGCGTTAATCTAGAACCGTAATTAAAGGCTCTAATGCGCACACCATAGGTGTGTGTATTGTAGGAGCTAGACGACGTGTGACGTATAGTTAGGGCTGTTGCGATAACCGCAATATTGACGAGCAAACCGCAGCAACCGTGATTTTTGCGTGTTTTCTTTTTTCGTAAGGTTATGCCCTTCTCGTTTAACACTTAATGCATGTGGAATGAATATTAAACAAGTTAGCACACACGCAAAGAGAGCGAGAGTCTTACATAGCATGCAGAATTGACATGCAACATTTAAACGATATTCTTTGTTGTATTTTCCTGTCAAAATAACAGCATTCCTTTTGGAATTCTTCAGCTTTTAAGAACTGCCGGGTTCTCCGGTGGTAGGCGGAACTAATGCGCAAACGGCAATCTCATTGGCTGGCGCTCACCTATTATCATCCCTGTTTTGATTTCAGCAAATCAATTCGAGCGAATGCAGACAACGTGATTAATATTCATGAACCCAGCAGCTCATTAATCCTTTTGCGTTTTATATTGTTGTTAGTAGTAGAATTCGCAGTAGTATTATCTTATCAGTGTTTTTATTTGTTTTCCCCCCTTTTATTTTTATAGAAACCCTAAATTAAGCACCACCACCAGTCCTAAGTTCAGTTAAAATGACAAATATGCATTCATACATGGTTATTCTAATTACTAAAGTTCTATCATATAATGCTTAATTATCATTAGGGATGCACCGAATGTTCGGCAACCGAAATTATTCGGCCGAAAATATTTTTAAAAAGGCTCGAATAAGAAAAAGACCGAATAAATTGTTCCGAACAATGATGTGACGGGATCCAATAGAGGCGCGCACTAATGCAACAAACATGTCTGCAGTGTGAAAGCATTTAAAACTGAGAAAGACGCAAAAATCATTATAAGCACTGACAGCGAGAGACCGTTTAGTACTGCATTGCATGTCTTCAATGAGAAGAGGAAGGGTGGTTGTTGCTGGTTACTGTATGATGATGATGAATCCCAAAATGGCCTCAAATGATTAGTAAATAAACTGCAGAATGTTATGTTTTCTAATGTTTTAAAAGAATTATCTTCTGCTCAGCAAGGCTGCATTTATTTGTACAGTAAAAAATACAACTGATTCAAGAAGGGGGTCTCAAATGGTTAACTTATTAATTTCAAGTTAAATTGTGCTTTGTTGGTATAGTGTCTGGTGAAAAAAAAAATTGGCAATTTATGGGGAGAAAAGCCGTATTCGGCCTTCGGCCCTGTAGCTTCAGCCAAGAATTTTCATTTCGGTGTATCCCTAATTGTCATAATATATTATAATTCTTGACTGACTTCTGTTAGTGTACTTTATATATATATATATATATATATATATGGCGATAATACCACATACCGCACTATTGAGCCACTCAAAATTACCGCACGGGAAATTCCCTCACCGCAACAGCCCTATGTATAGTAGTGGTGTCCCAATTCTTAGGGAAATATTTTCACCCCTACCCCTTGACACACTGTTTCAAGGGACAAGGGGTATAAAATAGAATTGGGATTGGGCCTAAGTATAAGTTTAGCACAAATATATTTGCACTCACAGAACACTCTGACTGAGTGCTTCAGAGTTTCAGTCTCTGTCAAGCGATCTGTGCTATTTTTCATTTCATCTCAATGGACCTGTGTTTGTGTATTTGA